ATTGCGACATCGACAATCCATACTTTGTTTTTTAACACGATTGTGAGGTCAGGAGTATTATGCTCCAAAACTCTGTCTGTCTGAATCCGGAAGTCTCAGAGGAGTTTGGCGTGTTCATTCTCTGTAACTCTTTCCGGCTTGTGATCCCACTAGTTCTTTGTTGCAGGAAGATGGTATTTGTGGCATAAGTTCTAATGAATCATCTGAGCAACGGTGTTATGTCTCTGCTTGGAGTCTGTCTGCGCGATCTTCTTGCAGCAGCTGAGCATGTGGTCTATTGTTTCATCTGCTTCCTTGCAGAGTCTACATTTGGGACCTGTTGTCGACTTTTCAATTCTGGCTTTGATGGCATTAGTTTGAATGGCTTGTTCTTGGGCTGCCAGAATCAGGCCCATCGTCTCCTTTTTCACAGTTCCATTTGTGAGCCACAGCCATGTTTTTCTTTGTCAATTTGGTTCTCAGTTTTTGCCAGAAACTGTCCATGGAGTGCTTTCTTTTGCCAGTTTTCTCTTCTGCTCTGGATTGTGTTTTTACGGTATTCCCTCTTTGTCTTTTGCACTTTAAGCAGTTTACTACTATTGACTTCCCTCAATGTTGGTTCTTGACTGCCTTTCACATAATCTGCCAGTGCGTGTTTCTCTTCTTCTACTGTTTGTTTCACTTGCAGAAGCCCTCTGCCTCCTGATTTCTGGGCAGGTAAAGTCTGTCGACATCACTACGCAGGTGTAATGAGTAGTGGATTGTCATCAGTTTTCTTGTTTTTCTGTCCAGGTCATACAGCTCTGCTTGTGTCCAGTTCACAATCCCAGCAGTGTATCTAATGACAGGGATGGCCCAGGTGTTGAGAGCCTTGATCGTATTTCCACCATTTAATTTGTTCTTCAAAACCTTTCTGACTCCTTTGATATATTCTTTGCTGACCACATTTTTCACTTGCCCATGCTTGATATTGATATGATTTGTCCGTTTGGCATCTCTATGCCCTCACTGTGTGTAATTTTCCCTTTAATGCCACTGTGGCACATTTGTCTAGGCCAAACTCCAAACAGTTTGAAGATTCTGACTGTTTGTTTATTTATTTATTTATTTATTTATTTATTATTCGAGCTTATATGCCGCCACTCCCCTGGGGCTTGGAGCGGCTTACAAGAATGGCTAAAATCTAACACAATTTAAAAACAATTTAAAACAATTTAAAAACAGCAATATCAAAAATCAAAGGCCTGTCGAAACAGGTATGTCTTACATGCCCTGCGGAAAGCTGATAAGTCCCGCAAGACACGGACTTCAGGTGGCAGAGTATTCCAGAGTGATGGTGCCACTGCTGTAAATGCTCTGCGTCTGGTTGCTGTTAGATGCAAGGTCTTGACACTAGGAATTTCCAATAAATCTTGGTCCTCAGAACGGAGGTCAGTGACTCTATTTCAGTTTCTGATTTTCCGTAAAGCTTTAGATCATCCATGTACAGTAAGTGGGAAATTTTTGGTGAATTATTATTATTATTATTATTATTATTATTATTATTAAGGTTTATTTACACCTCACTTTTTCTCTCTACAAGAATACTCAAAGCAGCTTACGTTAAAAACATTTGAATACAATTTACAATATACAAATAGACAAACATTCAAAGAGAATTAAACATCAGTGGTATTAAAAAATCACAGTTAAAAATCAATCAAATATATTTAAAGCTAAAAATCACAGTACTCCCAACTTGATTTTTAAAAACGGCATGAAAAGGGATTGTTATCAATTATATAGATGTTCTTACATAATAATGCATATTTATGTTGGCATTTTGAGTTCCTAAAACTTATTTTAAAAAGTATATCACTCAGTCCTAATATTTCCACTATTTTCTTGGGAAAAAATATTATTGAAAAGGGTAATTTTAAATAGCTGAGATTATTGCAGGAGCAGAATGCCTTTACATCGCTGATTTTTGTCATGGACTTTCTGAGATCTTATTTGTTTTAAATTATGAGAGTCAACGTAAATACACAAAAAATATGTCAAAACGTATGCCTCCATAGTATAGTTTTAATTCCATACATAGCTGTTAATTGAAATGGAAGAATATGATTTAAACTCTTATCTTAAATTAGTCTAGTCCTTTTTTCTTGAATTACTGTGAATATTGTAGTACTAGAAAAAGAATCTTGACTATGCATTGATGGCCTGAGATCAAAAGAAGTTTGAGAAGAGATGAAAGTATTGGTGGAAAGAGAAGTTTATATTTGAAAAGTTTAAATATTTTCAGTAAGTAATTAAGAATAATTCATTTGGCAATTACCAAAGGATACATCAGGATGGTAAAAGAAAGGAGGAGGCTTGCGAAAAGAGCCCAAGGGGCCGCATCCGGCCCCCTGTCCTGGGTTTACCCATACCTGGGATACACCATACGAGAAGGTGGCCACTTTGCTTTCAGTTCTTGAATTTTAAATACATGATTATTATCAGTAACAAACCGTTTTATAGTATGCTACCAACACGTTCTATACCTCATTTATTTTCAATTGTTTTGTTGTTGTTTATTGTGAGCTAACATTAAATCCTGAAAAATCATAAGGAGCTTCTATTTTTAGTGTTTTTTTCTTAAAGGTTTTCAGTTAATTTATTTGAGATCTCATGCTAAATGAGTAAAAGAAGGATGTTTTGTTTTACCCCAAGGTATTTATGACAGTATGTGGTACAGAGGGAAGCAGCATAGGGTTCTTTCTTACTAATGATCCTTTAATTAGTGAAGATAGCTCAGCAAGTATGTGGGCACCTCAGGGATTACCTCTGGCTGACATTTAAAGCTGATGTAGTTTTAAAACCGTATAATTACTGTCTGGTGGAATTATTTTCTGCACAAAAGGTTCATGCTTCTGTATTGATAGCATTGTTTTAAACTTGTACCTACATTTATACATAAAATCATTGTTTGTTTACATTCAAGATTTGCTTCATTCTGAGAGCTAAAATGGTAAAATAGATTATCAACATAACTGATAGTATCCCAAATTTTCATGTATTAAAAGCTTTTTTTTTTGTTAATAATTAAGCAATGAAGTTGAAGTTCAAGCACTGTCTAAATTTTAATTCATTTATCTCCCAAATAAAGAACTAAAAGGAAACTCTCCAGTCAAATCATCTGATGTGCAGGCAGTCACCAAGTTAGAAACAAAATAGGTTCTGTAGGTTTGTTCTTAAGTTGAGTATGTAAGTCAGAACAGGTACATTTTTAAGTGTAACTCCAGCCAAAAATATATACTGTATATTTTAGTTTTGGATAGCATAGGGAAGGGTTAACACCACAGTTTTTTCCTCTGATAATTGGATTTTGAAAAAATTGACTTGTTGTGGAAACAAGGATCGGTGATAAAGATACAGTTGAGACACCTTTCCCCATGATAACACTTTCAGGAGTGAATTCCCTTTACTGGGGTAGATTTCTCTCACTTCCTGTTGTCTTACCCTGTCCTTGTCATGAGAAGTTTTTATTCATTAGTTGCTCCTTTTCAGTTATCTGATATGTTGCAAAGAAACAACACAAAAAGTTTGGGTTGTTAGAACAGGGAGGGTTTCTTATACGAAATTATCATTGTTATAACGCTATTCCATTGATACACATTATAGCCCCTGTTCTTAACTATGGGTCATTTGTAAGTCGAATGTCTGTAACTTGTGGACTGGCTGTAGTTCCATTCAGAATAAGTTTTATGTTGGCATGCTAAAAGAGCCAGCTATATATCAAAAATTCTGAGTTACACCCTTACGCTGAGAAAGATAGTTCTACTGTATGGTCAATTCCTTGAAGATACTTAGAATGTATTAACATTTCTCAACCTGGGGGTCGGGATCCCAGGGGGAGTCACGAGGGGGGTCAGAGGGGTCACCAAAGACCACCAGAAAACAGTATTTTCTGTTGTGGCTGAAAATGTGGATTTATTTATTTATTTGCAGCATTTATATGTTGCCCTTCTCACCCCGAAGGGGACTCAGAGCAGCTCACAATATATATTTTCATACAATATATTATATTATTAGCATAGTACAATATATTATATATTATATATTGCACTATATCGTTATATTGTAATATTATTAGTAATATTACATGTAATATTATATATTATATATTATTATATTATATATTATATATTATATATTATATAATATTATATATTATATATTATTACTAGTATTATATTGTATTACATTATAATATTATAAATATTATATGTATATACAATATATTATATTATATTATTAGTAAAGACAAGATGGAAATGTCTTCTGCTCCCCTCTGTCTTCACTCTGGCCAGAGCAGCCGTTGGTGCCACAGGGGAGAGGGGCCTCTCAACTGATGATATAGGCAGGAGACAAGATGGAAGTGTCCCCTGCTCCCATCTCTTTGCTCTGGCCAGAGCAGTAGTTGGTGATTAAGTTCATCTCACCCCATGTTGGTTTGACTCTTGCCCGTTTTGGGCAAGAATGATCTTTGCCTAGTTAAAAGGCATTCAGTGGATGAGTCCAGGGCAGGGGTCCTCAAACATTTTAAACAGAGGGCCAGGTCACAGCCCCTCAAACTGTTGGAGGGCCAGATTATAATTTGAAAAAAGCATGAATGAATTCCTATGCACACTGTACATATCTTATTTGTAGTGCAAAAACACTTAAAAACAATATAATAATTAAAATGAAGAACAGTTTTAACAAATATAAACTTATTAGTATTTCAATGCAAAGTGTGGGCTGATGAGATAGGATTGTTGTTGTGTGCTTTCAAATCGTTTCAGACTTAGATTGACCCTGAATGATGGCCGGGTGAATGTCCTTGGAGGGCCGTATCCGGCCCCCGGGCCATAGTTTGAGGACCCCTGGTCCAGGGGGTTGCAAACGCCTGAACAGTGAGCACTCAAAGATTACATCTCCCTTATACATGGTAGCTTCAAGACCAGTTTTTAAGAAGTTTTTTCCCCACACATACTCTGATGTTTGCCCTTTTACAGGTGTCTTGGTTCTTTAATCCAGCAAGAAGTGAAATAACAAGCCTTGACAGTGGAAACATAGATGATATATTAAGTAAGTACTCAAGGACATGATCTCTTCAAGTAGTTTATTACATGCATTCTGTTTTAACTTGACTTTGAGAATCAAAAGAAGTCTTAAAATAAAGAATTTATTTTAGAATACATTCTTTTGAATAATTCGAAGGTACCCATGCCATACTTAAAATTGAGCTCAGTTATATTTGGAACTCAAGTCATTGTTGGAGAAGATGAGGGAACCTTCCATAATGTAGATTCCAAACTAAAATCATTTTATTAAGTTATGTTTTAGCATCAGTAAACTGAAGGGTGAATACATTGATCATTATGACAAACTTGGATAATTGATTATGAGTCTAAAGTGTAAATTAATCTGAATTAAACCCATTGTTAGTTTGGAGGGAGAAGAGAGAAAGCATATTAATTCAAAACTTAATTTTATTATGCATATATTTGCATCTAATATCTCAAAGTGAACTGGTGATAGTGCAATGCACAAAGATCTTAGTACTGTCTTGGTGCTTGCAAAAGAAGATGAAAGTGAAAATATCTGTGTTACAAAGGGTGTGGGAATAAGATTGCTTCTAGAGCACTTGAATTGTTTTGTGTCCATGATCTCAGTCCTAATAACTGTAAAGTTACTATTAGATCAATTTTAAGAATTGCAGGGGTCTAGTATCGCTGGGTAGTTCTTTTAAACTGTTATCAGTCTAGCAGGGAGATGGGCCCTTTGATCTTGTGTTACAGTTCCCTTCACCTCTAGCTAATATCCATGCTGACTGAAGATGATGTGGATTGGGGTTTAATATGACATGAAGGGCCCCAGTTTTTCTTCTCCTATATTAGCCAAACCACTTGACTAAGTCTGTGGCTGAGATGGGATTTGTACTAAGGAGTCCTGGTTCAGCTGTATTGCATTTCATTTTTTTATTGTTTGTCCTATCCTTTTGTAAAACTGGGGTTAAAGATGTCTTCACAAAATGAAAAGGAATAAAGTTTAAAAAATATCTAAGTAATTAAGTCTCTTAGTTTTGTAGCAGCTGAAGAAATTGCAGCGACATGCTGAAAAGGAGAATACTGGGAAAGTAGCATAGTGTCCACAAATAAGTGGATTAGCTCAATAACAATAGAAGAACATTTGGGCCAAGTGGACCCATTGCATTAGGCATGCTGTTATTTAAAGACTTTCACTGATCATTGATCAGACTTCTGCATTTCAAGAGCATTCACCCTTCAATGAATGGGATTTGCACCGACCAGTGAAAAACACTGCTGAGTGCCTTATCTGCACAGATCAATGTGCTACAGAAAAAACTGACTGAGTGACATCTTAATTATGATAACACGGAAAGTCTTTTTAGAATGAAGATAAATAGAGAGAAAAGCTAACTTAGTAAACCAGTTTGGGTAAATCTTTATGAATTGTGACAGGTCCAAATCTTCTCTCTTGCCTTTTTTAAAGCTGTACTGTCAAGATAGTTGCTCCCTCTTCTTTTTTTTACCTGCACTGGTTTTGTTGCCTATATATTCCTTGCTTGGCTTTGTGCTGTCAAAACAATTTTTTTCTTTTTCCCCTCTTCAGACAATGCAGATGTTGCTTTAGTGAATTTTTATGCTGATTGGTAAGTGCTTATACTTTTTCAAACTAATCTGTAGTAGTAGTAGTAGTAGTAGTAGTAGTAGTAATAATAATAATAATAATAATAATAATAATAATAATAATAATAATAATAATAATGTGAAGAGAGGGGCCATGAAGGCAGTTCCATCTTTCCTCCAGTGTCATCAGTTGGGAGCCCTCACCCCCAGCACCAACCGCTGCTCTGAAATCAGAGTGAAGGGAGGGGCCAGGAAGGCAGTTCCATCTTGCCTCCAGTGTCATCAGTTGGGAGCCCCCCCCCCCAGCACCAACCGCTGCTCTGAAATCAGAGTGAAGGGAGGGGCCAGGAAGGCAGTTCCATCTTGCCTCCAGTGTCATCAGTTGGGACCCCTCCCCCACTCCAGCACCAACCGCTGCTCTGAAGATCAGAGTGAAGAGAGGGGCCAGGAAGGCAGTTCCATCTTGCCTCCAGTGTCATCAGTTGGGAGCCCCCCCCCCCAGCACCAACCGCTGCTCTGAAGATCAGAGTGAAGAGAGGGGCCAGGAAGGCAGTTCCATCTTGCCTCCAGTGTCATCAGTTGGGAGCCCCCCCCCCCCAGCACCAACCGCTGCTCTGAGATCAGAGTGAAGAGAGGGGCCAGGAAGGCAGTTCCATCTTGCCTCCAGTGTCATCAGTTGGGAGCCCCCCCCCCCCCCACACCAACCGCTGCTCTGAGATCAGAGTGAAGAGAGGGGCCAGGAAGGCAGTTCCATCTTGCCTCCAGTGTCATCCGTTGGGAGCCCCCCCCCCTCCAGCACCAACCGCTGCTCCGAGATCAGAGTGAAGAGAGGAGCCAGGAAGGCAGTTCCATCTTGCCTCCAGTGTCATCAGTTGGGAGTCCCCTCCCCCCTCCACCACCAACCGTTGCTCTGAGATCAGAGTGAAGAGAGGGCCAAGGAAGGCAGTTCCATCTTGCCTCCAGTGTCATCAGTTGGGAGCCCCCCCAGCACCAACCGCTGCTCTGAGATCAGAGTGAAGAGAGGGGCCAGGAAGGCAGTTCCATCTTGCCTCCAGTGTCATCAGTTGGGAGCCCCCCCCCCCAGCACCAACCGCTTCTGAAATCAGAGTAAAGAGAGGGGCCAGGAAGGCAGTTCCATCTTGCCTTCAGTGTAATCAGTTGGGAGCCCCAGCACCAACCGCTGCTCTGAAATCAGAGTGAAGAGAGGGACCAGGAAGGCAGTTCCATCTTGTCTCCTGCACTGTGCTTATAATATAATATAGTATAATATTGATAATATTATAATGTAATACAATATATTACTACTAATATTATGATATTATAATTATATATTTATATTATATGTAATATTACTCATGACTATCTCATAATAGCGTTGTCAAGACTCAGGTCCGGCGGTAGAACAAAGCAGCTAAGCAGGAGCTAATTGAGGTTGTTTAATGTCTCTTTAACAAAACAAAAGACCTCTTAACTTCAGAGTCATAAATTAAGGAGCTTGCAGTCAGCAGTACGTAAACAAAATAGCTTCAGTCAGCACAAGGAAAAGGCAGTCTTAAACACAAACAGGCAGCTTGGCTTCAGCATACAAACATAGTCCAAAACAACAGCTATAACTCAGCAAACGACACTCCGTATGGAGAGCGGTCCAACGAAGATTCTGGGGCAAGGCAGAGGCGTAGTCAGACGGTCCAGGAGTCAGAACAAGGCATACATACAAGGCAGGATCCGGCAGGGATGATCTCACAGGCAGGAACACGAAGCTGTAAACAAAGCTCACGGCAAGAGTAAACACAAAGCACACAGCATGCGACACTTTGAACTCTGCGATTAGATGGCTCTCAAACTGCTCCTTAAATTTCATCTGAATCGCTGGAGTTACTTTCAGCTGGATCCAATTCTTCAGGTGAATCGATGCCACGCCATTGCAGCCATTCAGCACTTCGGGTTTCATCCTGCAAGTTAACATCATTAAAACCCTGGAATTCATCGCTAGATGTAGGGGCGTTAAGAACATCCATCACTTCCTGAACTTTAGCCCAGTCTAGCTCTTCGTCTTCGCTGTCAAAGTCTGTACAATCAGCTACGTCTTTCGGACGTTTGGCAACAGACCCCACATCACTATTAGAGCTGCTGGCTACTCTTTTTACACCCCTGTAACTCTCT